AGAAATTCGCCGACAATCAAATTCTGTGCTGAGTTATTTCCTGCTCACAGATGTCCTTCTGCTATAAAGTTTCAAATAAGACTAGAATGCGCGAGCGTGAAATGATCAAACGTCCTTTTAATTTCTAAGGCTTACCTTCCGGTAATTAAAATGAACTGAATGTAAAAAGTTAAAGAGAAAAAGCGAGACATTCAACTTCTAATTAAATCTTTTCTGATGGTTTAGAATATACTATTCTTGAAACTGAGAATGTTTTGATCAAAGCAGTGTAAATCGAACTGAAAATGTGCATGGAACCTTGCGTTTCCTGTATTTTATCTCACTTATTGTATGGAGTATGTGTGAAAATCTTCATTATGAATCGGTATATTTCAAAGAGCAACACGAAGAGTAAGAATACTATTGGCCGACAATATACAGAGCGGGGGCAGCTGTAGTGTCAACTATTACTAGTTAAATTTCTTTACCTCGAAGAAGATCTACAGAGAGTGTCTAAATGTCATTGGTCTCCCTAGGGATACTGTTGAGTCACTCGTAACTAGGCGTCAGAATTTGACGAGGAAAGAATTTAAACGTATCCTAGAATCAGAAGCACATCCTTGTAAACGTTTTTTAGAAAAGCCAGTCATCATGGCCATTATCTAAGATCTTGTAAGACTAACCCAGCGCACCTCAGAATACCTGTATCACGCACTGTTAGGCACAAACAATCATTTATTCCTAGAGGTGCTAAACTTAACTTAATTTGATATATAATATGTAGTGTTTTGAATTTTCATTGTAATATTACCTTAATTCTTATCGCCAAAGGTAATAAATAAAGGTTATTATTATTATTACCCTATTGTTATTGCTAGTGGTGGATTTCATGAAAAACGGCCGCTGGGATTGATGAATTAGTTTCGCGAGATTTTCGCGATAACGTTCTTGTTTAGTAAGAGGCGCTGCTTCAAAACAGCCAGGATGTGATGAATTCCTCTCCCTCTGGCATTTTCTTGCTCCACAGACCAGTTTAATTTTTTGACATTGCATCTACCAGGACACAATAATTTCTAATGGTATACCTTATAGCGCTGAGTTGCTCTGTCATCGCTAAGACTCCTCCTTTAGCCTCAATGAGGCGGCCCAGGTCAGCTATCGTCGGCTTGTATCAGTCTGTGAGTCGATTGTTTATCTGTTTGAACTCTTGGTCTAAGTATTTTGCCAGCTCATCAAAAGGATTTGGAGTCAGAAACGTTGTCACAATGGAAGCTATTCCGCTAAAAACGCTAAACACGGGAGCTATCGCGCTGATAAACGACGAAGCTGTTTCAAACGTTGTTGCAAGTGTCCCCAGTTTTGTTACGGGTTTAGCCTTGCTAGCCTCTCTGTATTTTTTTTCTTGCCTCGGTAATAGTACCGGTCCCTTCAGTTAAGCCCGCAGCAATCGCAAATGACACTTGAAGCATATCGTTTATGATATTCTATGTGGGAGGCTCGCCATTAGTTGGTTGTGATCCTGGTGTAGCCTTAAGGAACAAGTCCTTAAGCCGCTCGGGACAAACAAAAACCCTTGAGTGAGACCCCGAATGGTTTACAGGGCCACTCTAAGACAGCATCAGGGGACGGAGTCGGACAAGTGGTCTTGAAATCCGTTGGCTGGTCCACGACGATTATTGTGTCAATGACAAGAGCATTCACACAAATGTGACTGGTGGTTGAAGTGACCGTCACTTGCTTGATCGATTTCTGTTGTGACTGGAATTGATATTTATTTCCCTGCTGTAAACTTGCCCCGTCTATTTGGACCTGATAGTGTTTTTTTTTTTCCATCTCCAGTGATCTTGGTCAGTCTGGTTTCGTCGTTCTGAGCAACAATGTTGATGATTATTTCTTTACTTGCTTGAGAACCACACAAATCTAGCGTTAAACCCCCGGGGGGGGGGGGTACTCCCATACATGTATTTGAAGATGAAACCTTATTCGCCAAGACTAACAACGAAACAGTCACGGGAAGGCCACAGTTAGCCATTATTCTGCGATGTCTTGGAAAATTCGGGATTTGTTCCTTTTTATCTCCATGCGATTGACTTGTGGTTTAGCTTGCTTTGACTAATTATAAATTAGAAGTTGAAATTTTGAAATCCGATGTGAGCAATGTACCCGCGCTCTGAATTTTGACTTTCTCAAGCGTTTCGAAAAGTAACCAATTGAGAAGCACGGCATGAATGTTTCAAGGACCCCCCTTGGGGCATTACCTACATCGTCCGATCCGACTCTGTCATTCGCTTCATGCCATACGAATGTTTTATCGATATATTACACAAAATGTCTGTTACAGGTCACAAGAAGAGTGAGAATATTGCAGCTAGTAAAAGGATCAGGTTTTCCGCCGCTTTTCAATTAAAAACGTAGTTTTTGATCATGCAGGTAACATTTCCAAATTTAATGTGAGCAATGTACCCGCTTTCTGATTCTGACCTTTTCAAGCGTTATAAAAAGTAAACCAACTAGGGTATCTAAAAGATAGTAATGCTGCGGCACATTCTGTTGATACTGGCATTAGTTAGGCAGTGAGACTTTAAAGAATCGAAAATGACATTGAATGTCCTATTTACATGTTGGAAAGTACTAGAATAATTACTATCAGTCTATACAAAGAACTCGTGGGAACGTTGTTTAAAAAAATGATCAAGTGGTTATCAACAAATTGTAGGAAATGATAAAAAATCAGATTGTTTATCCATATATTTAATATACGGTGTACTATCTTTTCTCTGGAAACACGATACTTTTCTTGCTGTTTATTGCACTTTATTAAGTAACAGTTATTTAGCTATATATTTATAGAAAACAAAAACACAAAAAACGGAAAAAAAGAAAGAAGGGAAAAAGAGAGTGGTAGGACTCGAACCCGGCACCATAGGCTCGACGCGACTACACCTCACCACTCACCGTGACCACAGAGACTGTATACATAAATTTGCGAAAAGTCTTTAATTTAATGCCTTTTCCATGAAACTTCCGCCGGCAAGATGATCGCCAGCCGCATTAATCGAGCTATTAACAGTAAAAAAAACAATGTAAACGCATATTCCATGGCAAGGAATGAATGAAAGAACATAATTATGCTTTTCAAAACGCCGATACACGTCCTCGTCTGCAACGTAGGACACAAAACATATGTTTTGTTATCTCGATTTCCGCTGTTATTTTGAAGCAAATGGTCAAAATCACATCCATTTTCGGCTCATACAGGTTCTTAAGAATAGCTTGGCATGAAATTTTCTCACTTTCACATCACCTTCTAGCAAGCTGGAATATGTATATCCCCCGTGTTGCGGAGTCGAAGAGCAAATACTCATCTTCTCGTAGGGTTTGACACCTGGACGAGTCAAAGGCTCTTGAATTGAAATCCGATCCCCAAGTTAACCATCGTACTCATCTGAAAGACTCCTGCGTGTCTTAAATTTGGTAAGACCTCTAACCGTGCTGTAGAAAATTTGCTACAAAGAAAACTCTGAGTCTGGACAGCGAACGATGCGAACTTCCCCGTGTTTTTCTTTGAGTTGTTCGTGGCGCAATGCACTCTGGTTAAATGCAATGCATTGTGGTAAAAAGTGTGGTTAAATGCAATGCATTGTGGTAAAAAGTGATGAATTCGAGAATTCGTCGCCCCTTATATATTTCCCTTAAATCCTGATTATGTTGCTGCTCGCTCCCTACGGTCGCTCCGCAGCAATTAAAAAGCAAGCACAGCATGAACATTTCAAGGAACCCTCTTAGGCGTTACCGAACATCGATCAATTCTGTCAATCAGGGTAGTATAAGAGTGAAACTAGTATTACGGCCGGGAAAAGGATTTCCACCGCTCTTTGAATTAAAAACTTAATTTTTGATCGGGTAGTAATACCATATTTTCTTTCAAAAAAAGAAAGCATAAATAGCCAGAGTCGAGGAAACACTTGATCGCACTGGCACTTAAAGGACCCTCTTCCATGTCTGCTTTTTGTATTTAATATCGAGATCATCTCTCTGTAGCGTTATGGGACGGACAAATTAGCCAACATATGTTTAGTAGAAATATTTCTTTTAAAGTGGAACCATGTGGAACCTCTCCTTATATTTGGAACACCTTTATTCAAGGGACAACTCCATTCAGCGGATACAAAATTTTGTCCCGGAAAAATGTTCACATAATCTTTGTACCTGTTATCTCCGATTGAAGGGACACTTTTTTTCTGGGTCCGAAAACCGGGTTTAACCTCCCCTCAGGGAACACAGCTTTCACAAGACGGACTATCTCACTTAAATTGATGTACTTCACTTGTGGGAATGCAACACACAATAACGCAGCCAGAGATAAAGTTAATCTTGATTTTTTACACATCATCTATCTGCTTGAAATAATAACTGCAGTTGCCTGCGTGCAGACGTCTCCTATTCCTTTGTTGCACGCGGACAAAATAAAATAAAAATATTTTATTTGTTGGTTAATTATTAACAAACCCCAGCCCAACCTCCATTTAGAGTTACACCTCTATTCAGGGGACACTTTCCTTGGTCCTGAGGGTGTCCCCTCAATATAGGTTCCACTGTAATCTCTGATACGTTCAAGCGTCTTTGCCGTCGTTGACACTGACGACTAACTTCGACACGAAAATGACTAATTTCACGTTTTATGGAGGACATAAACTCAAGATAACACGTTTCTTTTCGTTTTCTGAACTTAGGTACGGTTCTTTAGAATTCAATTCCAAAAAAATTTCGCCAAAATTTCAAACAATGAGCGAGATCAGAATAAGAGCGATGGTGTTTGAAATGGCGGCGCCGCCGTCGTGGTTGCTTAAGTTCCCTAAATTAGATCATTGTCGGCTTCTAAGTGAAAAGTAATCAAAAGTCCGATCATTTGAATACACAACTTTTTTGGTCATTTATACAACAATTTATTTAAATTATTTGAACTTTATAAGCAAGGTATTATATGAAATAAAAACTCTTGATACATTATTTACATCTTTGTACAATCATTCTAGTTTGCCGGTCAGTGCTTTGCTACTCAGCTCATTGCTGATGGGGCATTAGTAGCCGCTGTTTCCGCTCTTTTGATTTCATTAGTGATTTGTGTCAGATCCTGGATAAATACTTGAATCTGAAAACAAAAACACGAACAAAGAAAATTCACTCGTAATACGCAACTCTCCGATATCTCTCAATAGAAAAGCATTTGGGGGAGCGGGGATAAGGGGGCAGAGGGGGGAAAGGAGAAATTTTCTAGAGATAATTTTTGTCAGCTCAAGCACAGGCATTGCGGCCGTTCTTATTATTGAAATCTGAGCATTAGTCTTTTGAACTCAATAGGAGAAATACAGATGAACATTCATTAGGGTGGTAAGCCTTTGGCTCAAGTGGTACAGAGCGCTGCGCCGGTATCGCAGATGTCAAGGGCTCGACCATGACCTTACCACAGGCAGGCCACCCTCTGCTCGTGTGGCAGAAATCTGAGCAAATATCAGAGCATCGGTCTTTTGTACTCAAAAGAAGAAATACAGACGAACATTACGGCGGCTACAGTTTACTCCGAAATACAGATTGCAACCGAAAATATATTCAAGCGAACGGCGAAGTTAAGCGAAAAGTTGACTTAGTTCTGTCATGTTTTTTCCCCGTCCCGAGCTGTTTAAAGCGTTATTTTGCGAGATGATTGTTTGACTGGGGGTTTAGAACTAATTTCAGCTAAGTGAACATTTCGCTTGAACTTCGTTTGAACATTTCGGTTCAAATCTGTATTTTGGAATAACTTGTAGCGCCGTAATGTTAACAGGAAATGTAGTAAACCACGTCGTCACGAACTTTACCTTTTCCAGCTGTTTCTCTGTGACTTCTATTACGGTGTTTTGCTTTAGATGTCTGTTGACCAGCATAAACAGATTATGTGTTGCCCTATGATCAAACACAAAAAAAATATCAAGTCATAAAGTGTTGTTAGTGTCAGGCCCTTACCCTTAACAAGGAACTCAGTTGCGAACTGTACCTAGGCTCGATTTCCGCTGTCTCCTAAGTGCGGACTTTGATCCTCCCCAAAGAGAAGACGAGGGTATGAGAGCAGGTTCATTTTTCCGAGCAGTAGCTGGCAATCGAGCGTAAGGGTTGATTTCCGTTGTCGCGTAATTTTTCCGTGCTAACACACGTAAAATTTACGCGTGTAAATGAAAAGGAGAAAATGTATGAAAGGCCACGCGTAAACGTGAAAGTTGAGCGAGAAAGCGTAAACGTGAAAGTTGAGCTTGCGACGGTGGAAATCCACCTTAACTGTACCACAGGATATTTTGTCATGTGAGTGTAAATGAAGTAACACGACAAAACATTTAATATATAACTTGAGAAAGGCGCTGAGATCGAAAGTGACAAATTTGTAAACGATAAGCGCTTTATTGAATTCAAATATGGAACTTTTTCTATTATGCATGTTTTTATTTTTTTACTGCAGGTTTACAAATATAATATGGCATGCACTTTTTCTTACTTACATTTTTATTCTCCCTAAAAGCAGAGTTTTCTTAGCGGCGGTGTTTTGTATGTGAGTCCATTGCGATTCCCATTTGACTGCTACACTCTGAGCTCGCTCCAGTTTGGTCTGTAAATGCGCTAACTGTTGAAACAGAGAACAAACTTAATGATAGATAGAGCTTACTGATGGTGAGGAATCACTTCACTTGCTTAGTCCCTCACTCAAATGTTCGTGTAAAAACATATCGCAAGAAAACCTACTTCCATGGTCCGCTATATGTAAACGTTTTTCATTGACTTGTGGTTACTACAGACCTATGAGGGTACGTTTGATTGTCCTTATTCTGTACTCATGATAAGATGTATTCTGGGGTCTTCCAGAATTCATAGCCTTTATCAAAGAAACAGATTTAAGAATACTGACCCGTGATTCGATTTGTAAGTATAGTTATACCTCAGGACTATTCATGATTTCAAAAACGCCATCAAGAAACCGCCTTACTTTGTAGAATAAATTAGAGAGAGAAGAATTCGACAAAGAAAGAAGGCGTTCATGTGGCTTCCCTTGCGTTTGGAGAACAACACCTTTAAGATGCACACAAGCTGTCTGCACAGAGGATACATGGCCGCTGACGCAAAGAGAAAGAAGAAGATTCAGTTAACTGGTTCCAGGTCTTTGATCGGACAAGAAACAATAGCATCCGCTTAACCCTTTAAGCCCCAATATCCACATACAAATTCTCCAAACTGATCTCTATACATTTCCTTTAAGAATTAGTTAAGAGAATTTGATAAAAGATCAAAGTATTTTCTCTTAGGTGATCATTTAATTAATCCTCATAACCTCATCTCACGATAATGTATGGGCATCGTTAGGAGAAAATTGCTGTTGGTCACTATTGAAACTTAAAGGCTTAATTGAAAACCCAGGGTAAATTTTCATTGGTCTCTCTGAATTCTCGGTTTTGTCACACAAGGATAGCTTCCACATGAAGTCCACAGTGAGAACGCAAAGTGAAACAGAAGACCGTGGTCTCATCTTCATTGTTTTAAAAGTTACTTGCAGTGCTTGTAGTGAAGAAGTTCAACTAAGTCCTAATGTAAAATTTTTTTACCTGGTTGTTGTAGTTTAGTATTTCGTTGTTCTTTTCCTGAAAATGAAAACAAAAATATGTACAGAATATATTGTCATCTGCAGACTAAAACTATATTTATAGTTTGTAAAACAATAAGAAAAAAGACAAATGAAAAACCGTTTTAGTTGCTAACCTATAAGGAACCAAAGACATGACAAGTCTTGGAAATCCAGAGTTTAATACAAAAACTAACACTTTCTAGGTACCCAAAAGCAAAAGAAAGATGCTAGGGTCCATCCCGAGGCTGCTGCTAGGGCATCGGCAATCTTTAGGTCACTTAAATCTGTTCATTTGCAAGAAGGAATTTTAAAAGTCAACCGCCTCGGATGATTTGACTCACATTATTTGCTGATTTAGTTAAACAAAATAAGCAGTCATAATTAATTAATTGTTGTTTACATTTTAAGTTTGCAGCGTCTTAAATATTTTTCGCAAGTTGTTTTGCATTTATTTCCAACAAAATTTACATAAAATTATATTAAGTACAAGACACAAAGAAACATACCTCTGTGAATTTCACCAATCTTCCCTTTTCTTTCTCATATTTTTCTTGATTCTTTGTTTCCCTTTCTAATAGATCCTGATTAAGAAAAACATCTGGTTTTAAGACAACTTGTATCATTTTTTATGTTGCCAACAAACTGAATCAGGTAACACAAGCTTTTTTTACTTTTCTCCTATGTTTCCTTTTGTCATAAGACTGCTCAACCAGCATTTAGCACTATTTCAAGAAAACATGTTGTGGTGCAATATTCTAAATCCTGATTTTACCATCAAAATAGTTTTTTTTTAACAATTAATTTCAATAATAAAAAAGGTGAAATAATTATTCTCATTTTATAGGCACATTTAATGATTCTCATGGTCAAAACATTATTGCAGTCAGGAAGAAATGTTTATAAATAAAACTAATAATTATCGTCAAGTCAGCATTATCAATTTTGTATGAAATATACCCTGGCCAGTACCTGATGGGTTGCTGTGAGTGTATCATATCTAGCTATCACTTCACGGATTTCCTGAAACTTGAAGAGAAAAACAGCAGTCTCTCAGTACGAGAACGGCATTACCATGCTGAGGTTAGATCCATATGATCAGGGTACTTTTTGCACTGTTTGGTTTCCCTATGTCACTAAAGCTCTCTCCAAAATAAAATTCAATACTACTACCTATACATTATGGTAGTTTTGATTAAGTGGTCATTTTTCTGGTGAGACTCATAACAAACAACACAACAACAAGTCTTGAAGACTCCTCACAAGCAGTTCTAAATTCTGAGACAATATGAAAGGTTTCCAAGACACACAACTTTCTTGTTTCCAAATTAGCAACCCAGTACTTTAAATTAATTTATTTATTTCAGCCTGCGTAACTTTATTTCCACAATAACATCAGGGAATTCCCCTCTTTAAAAAAACAGCTAGTGTACATAGTAGGGATAGTAGTCTGGTACCTCTTCAGCAGCCTCCAGAACTTTTTCAAGGTACTGTTGAAAAATGACATTCTTTTCTAACTTATACTGAATATGATCACGCTCTTTCATTAAAGCTGATGTTTCCTCTTTCAACCTGGAAAGCAAATTTTATTTCTTTTAGCACATAACACGAACAACATTACATAGGGAGTGATGTTGCAGTACAGCCTACAGATTTATTTCCAAAGACTTGACCCAGTCTGGACTTGACCCAAGTTTTGAAGGTGACTCTCTGATGTCAGGCCCTTAAATAAGTTATGGATTCCTGATCATGGTGTTTTTGCATTGCTATACTTTATATGAGAGTACAGTTAGCCTTTTAAATACCTGGGCCTGGTTGTTCAAATGTTGGGTAGCACTATCCACCAGATAAATCACTATCCAGAGGAGAAGTATTAGGGAAATCAATATTATTGTATCCACTGGCTAGAGATTCATCCAGTGGATAGAGTTATCCACCTTTCGAACAACTGGGCCTTGGCCAATGGCCAACAGCACAAGACTGGCAAGGCCTTCTGGTTCTCCTTAAATGAAAAGTACAATGTATAATAATCTATATTCCTTAGCTTTGAATTCTGTCACTAACCTATATTAAAAAATACAATTGATAAATTTTACAAAAAACGTTAAGAAACTGTTCTAAAGAATCAATACCTTGCAATTTCTCTGTCTTTTGCCCTTCTCATCTCCCTTTCTTCTGCTGCCTTTTTTAGAGCCCTTGCTCTCTTAGAGTCGTTTTCCTATACAGCCAATAAAAAATGAATATCATTAACTTTAATTTTGTATCGTTTTGAAGTTTATAATATTTATTTGCGTATTCAGAAGCAAATAAGATTGAACAACGTACCTTTAAGAATTTATCAAATTTTAACAATGATTCTTTCAGCTGAAACTCCTTCCTCTCAAGTTCTTCTCCTCTTTGTTGAAGACTTTCCATTTTCATTTGAAATTCCTACAAAAATGGAAATATCAAATTATTGTATCTGTTGAAACCTAACAATCCGCAAAAACTGGTCCGGGTTGTTCAAAAGGTGGAGCTATTGTTTCTGTTAGTTGCAGGCTGCCATTTTGGCGCCCCTCAATGAGACACAAATACGGCATCTCCATACTAGGCTCAAAAAGTTGAATTGCAACAGTCATTTCTTTGATAATTGCAGGTATCAAAAACCAGGCAGCCAAAAATCTTGGAGAAATCAACTTGCCTATAAATCTTCCATCATCTTTCAGATTCTTCACTTTGCTATTAGTACACTGCTATTTTTAAAGATTATAAAATTAATAATAATAATAATAATAATAATAATAATAATAATCAAGCGAATATTAACGCTAAAAGCCGACGTTTCGGTATAATCATGACACCATTCTCAAGGCAAAATGAATAAGTAATGCGAAGATTATTATATTAGATTATATATTAGAAATAATAATAAAAATAATAGTTTCCAAATTTTCAAATGCTGGTAGGGAAAGACAAATATTACAATTTACAATATAAACCTTGTCCTATATAAGCATATCAAATACTAACTTATTTAATAATTTAAGACTTATTATTTTTTTCTTACTTTCTACATATTTTGCCAGGATAGATAAGCTTAAATAAGGTACAGTATTAAGGCTAAGTTTTAAATAAACCACCAAATATTAAAACCTCTTTCTGAGCTCCTAATGATTGTTCCACTTCCGACATTTCTCGTCTCTTTTCTAGAAGCCGAGTGGCTGGTGTAAGATGATCGTCCTCCCGCTCGGGCATTTTGCTAGAAACGACAAAAAAGTAAAAGTTTAGAAATGTAAGACGCGTGAGAACTTCAAATTGTCAAATTTTCACTAAATCTCACCACAATTAGGTTCTCTTTGATACTTACACGAGGAGTTTATCCTCAAATGTAGTTCTAAAATATTCTTCCAAGTTCACAGTCATTTTGGATCGCTTTTTTGGCCGTAGAAAACGGTGTTATTTTGCTTCAACTTCTTTCGCCAAGATGGCGGCGTTGCTATGGATATAACTGAATCAGTACAGTGTATCATGGGAAACATTCGTCCCTTGAAATGTCCCAGAACCCTTAGCGCTCTTGTGTAAGATGGCTGTAGAATGTTTTGGTGTCAAGAATAGTGCTTGCTGATTTCCTTATGGAGCGGATTTCATATCCTTCTCCAATTTTTATTGACAAGTGTGTACGATATGTCCTCCATCGCTCTTTGGGTGAAGCCTGATGCCTTTGATTTCGGTGCAATTCACGCCCCTTTGCCACCTAAACTCACTTTGCAGGTAACAGCACGCATTTTCTGTATAAGCAGCTCTGATCTCCGCTAACTACTGTAATCAAAAGCTTTTAGTTAAAAAATCTAAAAATATAGTTCTTAATCATTATACAGCTATATTTATTTTGCTTGGCAATGTTTTTAATCAATTTCATTCATTTTTATATTTAGAATTTTAGCATCAATAATTAAGTCTCATACAACGTACTGTAGCTATTTAGGCACATGATTTCACATGTACAGGCCGGGACCCCGCACAATCCATTTGTGTATCCGATTGATGTATTGGATTTACCATTTTCTTTATTTATTTATTTATTTATTTATTTATAGTGATGTATCGCTAAATATGTACATGGATAATGTAAATTAAATTTAAACGTTGTATTATTTTTAACCTGCGGTATATTGTCGTATCTTTGCCTCAAAAGGGGTATTAGAGCGATTTGGAAAGTTTTTTAGTTCACCGTTTACTGTTCCTCTTTAATAGAAGGACGAGGGTGGAAGCAATTTTTTGAAAGGCTCCAGCGCCAGAGCAATTTTCCCCCAGAAAATCGCATCGCTCAGCTTTCAAACTTTGCAGCAGAAAGGCCGAAAGATTCACACTTCTTCCCATACCTCGTGATCGAAAATCCATTCAAATGGCCTGGAATGAACCCTCGAAGAAATTAAAATCCCACAGTTTTTGAACGGTCAAAATGTGTAGCAAGAATTATACTTGCCAGGCAGAAATCGTCCTGCTGGTTTCCTCTTTTTGATTGGATGTCATTAAAGAATAACTGATTAAAAATTTGCACCTAGTCTGCTTTAATCTGTAGTTGTTAAACCATTTGTTTAATAATGATATCCAATGACAAATAGGCAATCAGCAGGATGATTTCTGGCTGGCGTGTATAAATCTTGCTACCCATTTTGATTGTTCGAAAACTGTGGTATTGTAATTTTCTTTGAGGGCTAGCCCCAGGCCGTTTGGATTGATTTTTTTATTGGGAGGTTAAGAAGAAGTGTAAATCACTCAGCCTTTCTGATGAGAAGTTCGAAAGCGGAACAGTGTGATTTTCTGGGGGGAAAATGCTCCGGCACTGAAGCCTTTCAAAAAAAATTGATTCCACCCATGTCCTTCTATGAATAGGAACAGTAAATGGCAAACTCAAAATCCTTCCAAATCACTCAAAATACCCCCTTTTGAGGCGAAAAGACAACAATATACAGCAGGTAAGGTAATACAAGGTTTTTACATATTCAGTGATATACAGTGTATAGCTATAGATGAAGCAAATGGTAAATCCAATACATTTATTTACCATAAAAGAACAATCAACCCACTCCAACCCAACCATGCACCATGATCATCTACTCAAAATTACACTTCTTGAATTCCTTGATAAAATTAAATGCTTAACGTTATCCTATTTTAGAACTTGTACAAGTTGTCTATTTATGCCAGGAACAAGGGAAAGGCAGGTTATCCAAAATTAAGGTAAAGTTATTTTTTCCAGTATATGTTTATACTACTTTTTATTATTTAAACAAATTTTACAGGCTAAGTTTGCCCTAAGAGAAATAAAACTCATTGAGTGGGCTCACTTCACTGTATTGGCCGACAGTTATAAGCCCACTGAATTAGGTAGATTAAAGTCCCATTTACACAGCATTCATTTTGGGTCCTGCATTCCTAAATTTCGGCACACAGGCCAAAAGAAACAGGGTATGGCCTGTGTCATTTACACAACAAAGATGTGTTTGATTTGTTTCAATGTTGATTTCAGGCTGCTCCCCACCCCCTTTTCCCCTTTAAACCAGTTTGGACCCCTACAATAAATAGACTCCATGGGTATTTATTAGGTCAAAATTTACGGTATTCATTTTTCTTTCAAAGGCTACTGAATGGTTTTTTGCCAGTTTACGTTGAATATAGGAAAGAAAACAAACACTGTTATTTAACTCTTGCTTGCAGTTACTCTGTGTGGAAGAATGTGGCATGCAACAAATTACACATTTCTGAAGACCTGGCATGGCTGTAAGTATGATAACTGCATTATCATGTTGACTAAGAATGGTTTATTAAAATGGTAATTAATATTATTCTTATTTTGTTTTGAAGATATTTTGAAACTTTTGATATGCTGAGTGGCTCAAGTTTCAAGGAGCATTCAAACTGGAATGAGAGTTTTTCTCGCTGTAAGAGTCAGGAGGAGATAGGCAAGTAGGCTACATAACCAATTTTTTTTTTTCAACACGCAAGTTACTGAGGCTTTGATAAACAAGATATCTTCAATTCTAAAACTGTGTGGAATGTTTACTTTAAACTTTAATATTATCCACAGAGGAACTTTCTTATCCACAGAACAACTGACGGCAATGTGTTAATAAGTTTCTTCAAAGATTATGATGCCTAGTGGTCTTTTTCTTGGGACTGTGCATTGTTGTTGAGAATGTCATGGCCAAAAAGTCAAATTAGATTCATCTTTAATGCAGAAGAGATAAAGGAACAAGAAAAATGTAATAATATCATGTACCTTGGATGAGGAAAGTCCATGAAAAATCCTTACTTCCATCAAAATAATTTGTTATCCTTGGGGCCTTCATGAAAGCTTATATGTATTTCCAAATTCAGGAGCTGTATGTTGGCATGAGCAACAAAGCTGGCATAGTACTCAGCTTGTAATCAATGTTTGTGGCAGTTTTGGCTCTTTTTGGCCAGACAGCAAACTGAAAATGGCTCAGCTAGCTTTGAATACAATTTCCCTGCAAAATTTCCAGCAGTAGGCCAAGGGTTAAATTACTACCATATATTTTTTTCTTTCTTATAACATGTCAGGGCTGAAAATAATGGCCGGTCAACGGACAATGTCCGGCCTGATTGCAGACTTGACCGGTCAAACCCTTCTAAGAAAAAGATCGGCGCAACAAATTAATTTCATGATGTCATGTCGTAATGAAACGCAACAAAATGAAAAGTAAAGCAACGTTGCAAGTCGTACTGTACTTTCTGCTTTGCTGTAATCAGTAATGTGATTTTCTTTGGGAATTCGAAGGAATTCGGGCAAATCGATCGCAATTCTCAACTGGTCGTCCTGTGTTTCTCCTGGAATAAATGTTAGGGCATCGATTAATAGTAATTTCTTTTATGTCAAACATGAATCTGGTTTGCACACGCGATTCCAGAATGGTCTGATAAAAGTTTAAGCTAATCAAGAAGCGCTAGATTCTTGTTCTTGTAAACAACTTTATGCAAATTTCTGTTAACATTTGAGCCCTTTGTAATAAGATGTTGCCCAATGACCCAAATTTATTTATTTATTGACTTCTGATGATAAAAACGCTGTTTGTGGAACAAACTTTTCGCTAATACAAATCAACTTCTTTGACAAAAATATTAGCGACGATTCTTCTTTGAGGAGGTGTCTTTCGATCACGTGCCAGGCAAGGAAAAAGATCAAGTTTCACTGGTGTTCATTTTGGAACATCAACGTTAAAACAAGCGTGTGGAGATTTTGTTTTTTGTTTTTTTCGTAATTCCTAAAGTTTGCTGAACTGTATGTGTATTCCGTTTCCTGAACCTTGAGAGTTTGAAAAGGATTTGCGTTTCACTTTTTACCTCTAGAGACTTCAGACAACGCCGTGCAATGATACTCAAGGTAGAAAGTAACAGTAAAACACACGAAAACCGCGGAAAGGAACTCTACAATGTGCGAATGCATTTTTCACCAACTTGCTGTCAAAAATGTGAACGTCAATGTAGTAATAATGATCTATTGCCAGCATAATTGGATATTCCCTAGGCAAAAAAAATTATTAGTATTCATTATTTGACCGGCCAGAATCGGGATTTGTCCAGGCTAAAAAATATTTGGCTAGTCATCATGACTGGCAACATGCTGTCCGGTATTTTCAGCCCTGCATGTCAAGTAAACTTATTTCATTTCTTTTCTTTCCACAGATCATCTTAGATCTCAAGGCTCTGTTAGAACATTGCCGTTCATATTGTTTTTATACATTCAACAAATTCACAAGATTTCATTCAAGGCATCTCTGGTGCTAGGAGGAGAAGAGTATCCTGATTATAATAATTATTATTTTATTTAAATGATATTAGACTTGAAAGAAAAGGTGATTAAACACTGTAAATGTAGAGGAAACAACTTCCAGAATGTAGAATAAAATTTTAACTATATTTATAATAATGTTGGTGTCACTCTTAGTCACTGATTTTAACACTGTTCTTTAATGTATACTTAGTTGATTGCACTGAATAATGATCTTGTCAACCATGAAATTAATTTTTGTGGGGGAAAATTTTTTGTATTTTTTTGTTTGTTTGTTTGTTTTTACTTTGTTTATTTTTGGAGAAACCTTTGTCAGATCATGAAAAAGATTTTAGAACTCACAAGGAAATAGATAGGTATGATACACCATACAAATGACTGAGATTAAGGAGTGTGCATCTTTCGGTCACACATAGCAAATTTTCTTCTTTAATATTAATTTCTAAAACATTGGTATGCCATGCATGCATATTAAAATGACTCACAGTATTATAGTTGCTTGAATGCTTCCTTAACAAATTAACAGATGGCCAACACGCTCACGTTCTCCAGACCTGGAAAACAAAGGCTCTGTTGCTGTTAAGGTTTGCTGATAGCTTTATTTTTAGTACAGTTAGATTCAGTACTGTGGTATTCAGACATTTCTCCACAATAAAATAACTCAGTTTAACAGCACATATGAATACCACCTGTCAACCAGGATGTAACTCAATACAATGCAATGACACTAGCTTCATGTATCCTCAGAACAGCCGTCATTTTTGAGGTGGCAAGGAAGCCAGAATGACATTTTGTTCAAGCAGAGTTCAAAGAATGTTTTGACAGTTTTACAGCTTGCCATGTGGACAAGCTGTAGTTAGCATGTACTATCCCAAAATTATTTTAGCTAGCACCAAAAAATTTTTGATGAGCAGGATTGCTTCAGTTTTTTGGTTATTTTAATTCCCCAAAAAATTTCACTTTCTCATTGGGCAAGTTAAGAACACAATTCACTTGCATGTTAGGAAATCCACTAGCCCTGGGTTATCTGACACTATAGTTTCTTTGCACACTTATAAGCCATGGAAAATCCTTAGCCTTTGTTGACAACTCTGTCCAGATCAGCAGCATCCCTACATATTGTATTATAAAATAATTTTTGTGACAGTTTTTGTTTTTGCATATCAACAGAGTCTTGATGAACATGACCACATGATGTTTGTGTTACATCATCTGAACGATATCTTAGAACTGTTAATGGAGCCTGGTAATTGTACTCCTCTGTGAGCTTAGTATGCCTATTTCCTGCAAAACAAAAACAGGGCTAAAAAGCTGCTTGTATTGCTTCCTTATCTTAGTTAATGACTTTGCAACAAAATAACTTGCTTTTACCGTTGCCCATTAGACTAGTAAGCTTAACCCTTTAGGTCCCAAGAGTGACCAACATCAATTTTCTCCTAAGAACATCAGCAGATCATCCAGAGTAAAGGTTATGAGAATTACTAAATTGATTACCAAAGGGAGAACACTTTGATCTTTAACCAAATTCTCTCAACTATTCTTAAAAGAAATGTATGGAGATCAGTCTGGAGAATTTGTATGTGGATCTTGGGGATTAAGGGTTAAAAAAGGTTTTGCTCAGCGAGAAAATCTGTCCCAGACATCCAAACGGGCCCTGATTGTTCAAACGTTAGATAATGCTTCTGTATTCAACAGATAAAAATCTGTCCAGTGGATAATGCAATTGGTTGGTGGATAGTGATGTATGCCGTAGGTAGCACTATCTTACGTTTGTTGTCAGAGCTAGTACTCTTTTCTATCCCTGAAAAATATGTCAGGTTAATTTTTTGAGAAGTATTAAACATGCAATCTCCATGTACACAATACATGTTAAATCATCCTCTAAATTGTTTTGTGGTTGTTTGTGTGCGCAGAATCCAGTGCAAACAATGGTTCTGGCAATGAAGCTTGCCTTACTGTTGAAGCTCTTGATGCTCTGGGGTTCCTTATAACAGGAGTAACTGATAGCAGGTTGGTTATAGCTAGCAATAATACTCTGTGCTGCTGGCCCATTAGCCAAGACTTTTCTCAGGAAGGTGCATGCACCAGATGATCTTAATGTCTGAGGCACAAGTAACTAAGGGAGTTACTGAGGGGTTTGTGAACACCCCCTACCTTTAACGATTTTGAAAAAAATAATCATCTCTTGCCTGTAAATAGTGAAAATCTAAAAAATACTGTCCAATGTGCATGTCACAGATAGAATAATTTTCCCTGCAACAATGGAGTCCTTTGAATACAGTCAATGCATTTTCACCATTTAGGCATGATATTTTTTTAATGGATTGGTCTTTTGGACTGTTTTTTCTGTATATCCAAAGGGCTTTGCTGTAAAAATTTTGTGCACAACAATTTTGCTCAAAAAACTGGACAGTGGAAAATGGCTTCTACTTCTTATCCACTAACAATCTTCAACAGTTCTTATAATTCACTTTTTTTTGTTTGCTGAATTTATTAGCAGATGACTTCATTTGTGTTTTCATATCATAAGGGTTTGGGTGAGGTGCAAAGATATTTTGTGACCAGAAATTCAACATGTAAACTGCATTTTTCTCTTTCACTATCTGTACGATATACCTGGTAGCATACACCTGTTCTTGATGACACAAAGAACAGCTGTACAGATAACTAGTATGAACCCAACAGAGATAGCACTCAGCAACACATGGAGGTGCTTGCAAGTACATGCCCACCTATTGCCCCTCCCCTCTCTATGATGGTTGCACCTTTGATTTTATGTTATGCCTCCTATAACACAAGGATTACAAAGAAAAGCCACTGTTTTGCAGACATCAAGCACTTTGAGTGGGCTGTTTTTCCCAGTTAACCATTTATGTTTGCTTTACAGTCAAACAGAAAGAACCAAACTTGAAGAAAGTCGAGGTCTTTATCTAGGTCCAAATAGTTTTCAAGCACTTATTTTCGGGGTAGGGGTAGGGGTAAGGTGATTAAGACAGTAATAAAAGTATTGTAGGAGCGCATGATGGCGGGCTAAAATAGCAGGAAATAATTAGAGGCAAGCCCTTGACCTTCTTTAAACCAGGTAATCAATTAACGTAAGCATTAACTTGCTTGTACTCTTTTGTAGAACTATTCAATCACTGCCTGAATTAGCTCGCCTTCAGCCAGAAAGACCCAGGAGTGGTTATTCGAAGGTATTTAAACTTTAGCCTTTCTGTTTTACCCCAACACTTTTATTAGATTAAGTTTTGTGGTGAATTTAATTCTCAGAGTAGTTAATTACAAAACACTTACAGCCTTTCTTACGTGGTTTATTTTCTTCTAATTTATCTGGATAGAAAAACAGTTATAGTGAGACAAAAATGAGAAAATCAGCTTGTCTGAAGGGATGGTGCAACTTTAGTCTTTTGGTATTGCTTTACCATAAAAACTTATTGGAATCAAAGAAAACCCTAATGGTGTGTTTGGCTTTCTGTATCTATGATGAAAACGGATTGCAACGTGAAAAAAATGGGCCAACGTTTTAAAGTTTAACCCTATAGTGTTGTGGAAAAATGACCAAAAACAGTCCATGCTTTGTTTTCCCTTTGATAGAATCATTTTGATATTTTTCTTTTGGAGTTCCAACAGGATCTTTACACTAACTGTAGTTATAATTCACCTCAGTTTTGACTAAAAAACGTGGAGAAACAAAAACACGCTTCGGGGGTTGTTAAACTTGCGCGGTTAAATCTTTTCATGTACGTGTACCTAAAATGCATCACTCCACAGATTTCCAGAACGTTCTCATTTCGTCATCTTCAGTCCTGGTTGAGATCCAATTTGCAAGTGAATCCTTTTGGTGTGTCATCCATACTTGCTCGAGGATTTAAGCCACAGGAAACACCTACAAAAAGTAAGAAATTGCTTGTTTTGAGGCTGTAAAACGCAGGGCAGAGAGTATTTATGTGTTGAACAGCGTTAGATTTCTTCTCCAAATGAAAACAGTGTTACCCCGCTTCACGGACTGTGTTGTACGTTGTCCTGATGAATTTTATATTACCTGCGGCAAGAAGTGTTAGCTCAGTCAGCAGGACGCTTCACTGCAGAGCGAGAGGTCGAGGGTTAGATTCCCGCGGTGGGACCGATACGGTCTTAAAATAGCCTGTTCCAAGCGTTCAGATAGTGGAGAGCGGTGCGAAGTAAAGAAAGCGATGAAAAGTAGAGGGGGACTGGGGAGAGACTCCTCCTCCCTCGCTTTTATGACTTTTTTTGCTCCTTTTTACTTCGCACCGCTCCCCACTATCTGAACGCCTGGAACAGGCTAGTCTTAAAATTACTGAGAAATAAAGTACTTTCTTTGTCCTGCAAACGACTAGACTTTCGCATGGCTTCCATAATCATGTAAAATTGCGGTCCCGTCATAAAAATAGTGTCTTCAATTAGTTCGTTAATTTCGTACTAAATGCATTGACATAAATAAAGTGCATTTGTTTATTTCCCTACTTTTTAGCGGTCAATACAAAAAAAAGATTCTGTCGATTAAGTGGAGCTTCTCTAGGCATGTACAATAGAAGTCAAGTCAGTATCTGTTGCTGTGACCTGACCTTGCTTTTTACTGTTTTGGTAGATTTTTTAAGCCTTAGTGACACATTTGATGAACACAGTCTCTTACGACACCAGGAAGCGGATACAAGTATTTCTGCCAGCAAAGAACACTCTATCAACAGAAGTCGAATTATGAGCAATGTCAGTTATGCTCCACCAGAGTATGTAGAACTTACTGGGGTTTTTAGTGGAGCATTTTACGAGATTTGTTTAACTTAGGTGATCTCATTTCAACAAAGAACCGACAGATGTTTTGGCGAAGTACATGTTTATCATGAGTTCCTACTTCCTTCCAATTCATGATGTTGCTGAGTTTGAACACATTTATTTTTCTTCCTTTGTCTTGGGCAATATACTCCTGCAGTAAATTTTCCAGGCAGTCAATAAAAACCTGCGTGCCAAACTATTGACGAAGCGCACTGCACTAGGGTACATTGTACATGAAAGTTGGTCTTTAATCTATATAATTATATATAATTATCTTTAATTATATAATAAAGTGATAGACTAGCTCTTTAATCAATTATTGCTCGCAACTCGATCTTTTTCATCGATCTGACGGCCCCCAATCTTTTGAGTACACATTTTCAAGGAATTGGAATTGTCTGTTCTACAATACAACAAAAAGGAGTTTGCTTTGTTCAATTGCTGAGCAATTTTATTATTAATTTTGGCAGGCAAAGAGTCATAATTCTCTCACAAGTCTGCAAGCAAACTGTAGCGAAGGTATATTAAATAACTACGCCCTTTGTTTTACATTTTTGTGTGTGTTTGATAAATTCAATACCATTTAAAGTAGAAGCTTAAGATTAGATGTTAGATGAATGGAAAAAAGCCGATTTAAGAAAAAGGGTTTTCCAGTGTTCCAGTACCCTCACTTCCAAATTGAGGTCAAGTGCGAAATCCTTTACGTATTTTACCTGAGAATAAAAACGTATTTCCAGGTTAAAGACTTCGCACTTGACCTCGTTTTATTTAAAAAAGAGACTTCATTCAACTGGGAAGTAGGCTATTACAGATCGGCTATTACAATTAAAACAGGTGCGGGTGATCCAATGGTAGCCGTTACTAAGCGCGGGGAAACTTGTGCCGGCAGCAAGTCATGATTTGATTAAGAAGCGCGCCAAAGTTCTTAGCCAATCAAAAAACCGAGAAAATACCTGGGAAATGACTTCCTTCTTTGTGTGTTTTTTTTTTTACTTTTTTTAGGCGAGTGACTCATACTCTGGAAGTATGGTGAAAATACACAGATGTCACTACTCGTACATCTATATCCTTTGTCCGCTGAGGTTTGTGTGATGTATGGTTTAGTGTTTTGGCCAAGTATTGATAAGAGAACAACACTTGTAGAAAGGGCAGGGTAAAACAAACGTTTTGAGCCTACGATCTTACAGCTTAGTCCAAGTTTTGCGCTCATTAGTTATGTTTTGTCTGAAGGCTTACAGCTGCAATTCCTAATCGTCACTTAATAACTTAGCATTAGCTATGATATGCGAAAAAGTTTTTTTTTTTTTCTACCACTCTATATTTCTTATACTGAAGTTATCTTATGGTCTAATTTCTCACCAAAGCCTTCAATAAAGTGTGGTTTTCCAAAGCTATTGAATGACTTTCAGTGACTTTTGATGTAATTGCTTTTTCCCTTGTTTTAGGGCTGTGACAGTAGAAAACTGTCACAACTCCACAATTGTTCTTGGAGTAGCTAAAACGGCTGTCAACATCATTGGTTGCGATAGTTGTACGTTTTTTGCAGTCTGCGATAGAATTTCTTTCAGGTTTGTTTGTAGTTATCTTTTTCTTAGTGTGACTTCACTAAGCGTTTGTTGTACTCTAGTAAATAATTCTCAGAGTCTTTCTTGAGTCAAGTGAAGCCCTAAGCCACAAGGGGGAGCATGCAAGCCAGGGAAGCGAAGTGGTGAGAGTTCTCGCCTCCCACCAATGTTACCCGGGTTCAAATCCCGGCGTCGACATCGTGATGTGGGTTGAGTTTCTTGTTGGTTTTCTCCGTTGCTTCGAGTGGTTTTTCTCTGGGTACTCCGGTTTCCCCTTCTCCTCAAAAACCAACACTTCCTCTGAAGCACATCTAAGTGTTTCGTGGGTAAAAAAAATACAGTTACAACGTAAAAATACTGGAAGGTTAGCTTGCCAATTTTGCGCGATTGTGGCTAAATTAGACCTGCCAGATGATAAAAGGCATTTGGTACAGCACTCAAGACCATAGCCTTTCGGGCGTGACTTAAAAGTGCGTGTGAGTTTTCTTTTTCTTTTTTCTTTTTTTTTTTTTTCTCATTCGTTTGTTTGTTTCTTTAAATATGGATCGTTTTTCTTTGTGTAAGGAAGAATTTCACTGTTATTAACTGACGTATTTCTCGTTATTCTTTTTCAGTGGTTGTAACAACTGTACCTTTAATCTCTGCACGCCAACCAGACCTGTAATACTTCCAGGCAACGAAGGATTGTTGCTGGCACCATATCACACTCACTACCCTGCTTTGGAGGAACATTTACATGGCCCTTGGGGAGTAGCTATAGAGCCCAACCTTTGGAATGATCCGCTTCTCCTAGGTGAGTCTTGGATGGGATAGGCATTCTCAGATCCCATGGCCAGTTCAGAGTCGGAGCGGAGTGTTTCCAGAAGAAAATCGTTGTAGGAATAGTTTTCAAAGTAAGGAAAGAACCCCTGTGCATTTATTCCTTCTAGATCAGTACCAGAATCGTTTGCTTCGACTGCAAGAATTGTCTTTGAAAGAGAGTTACCTTCGTCACGATCATTTGTCATATCAAAGAAGTTATTGGTGTCGCTTTGTACAATCCAAATTTTGTGTTATAATAATTATCAATTTTTTGTAAGGCGCAAAATAGCATTTAAATATATTTTTAAGTGTGTCCATTACAATGCTCCATAATTTTATGTTGAGGGATTATTTTATCAGGTCTATCGTTTTCCATTAATGTTTTTGCCCGTAATATGTTCCATCTTGATTAACTTCCCTTGAGTGTCCCAGGATGTCGGACCCGGTCTTACATGTTCTGTGGCATCTATGATTAAAAACAAAATTAATGATGTTACCAAAAAGGTTTTTCACCTGCTCTGGCGAATACATTCATTACAGAAAATTCCAAAACTCAGAGCGAATATTTCGTCCGAATCACTCAGATTGTGAGAGGAACATCTGAAACGTTACAGCGGATCTTTAAATCCCATGGGCTCCACATATTCCACAAGTCTTTTAACTCGCTGCGAAATCAATTGACACATGTAAAGGATCGATCAGAGAAAATTGAAGAAGTACGGGGTCGTTTACCAAATCCAATGTGAACAATGCCCGGAAAATTAAATTGGCGACACCGCCAGGCCTCTTTGTACCCCGATCAAAGAGCACCAGTCCCGTGATACTTCTGCCGTTTTCGAGCATCAATTGCCAGGCAACGGGTCACGACATCAACCCACACAATGTAAACGTAGTATCTGATAAAAACAACACCATTAAGCGTAGAGTCAAGGAGGCCATTGCTATTGAACAAAGGAAACCAACCAATTTACAGTCCTCTCTTGGAGGTTCTTAACTTTTCTGTCACACAACCTGTCAACTCACAACGCTGATGAAGTCTGAGTGATTCGGACGAAATTTTTCGCTCTGAGTTTTGGAATTTTAATGATGTTAGTAACGGGAAGAATAAACTTCTTTTGGAACTTTTGATTACTTCAAGATATGGAAGCCAAGTGCTCCAGTTTCACAGGCATGAACAATTCTGAAAAAAGTTATGTTTCTTTTTAAAACAGTATTGCTCTGTTTGTTTTTAAAAAATTGGTTATTATGTTTACGAATCTTTTCGCCTTAGAAACTAAATAAAAGCATGTGAAATAGAGATTAATGAGAGCTACAACTAATCCACTTTTTTTGTATTTACTACGTAAGTTAGTTTTTATTATAAGTTTATATAGAGTTAGCCAGGGCTAAAAGCGAAGCTCTCGATAATTATAGTTTGTTCAAACAAAATATAAAATCGTGTAATGCTAAGCGGAGAAGGCAACGCCGGAGAACGGTGAAAAACAACAATTTGTCATATTAGCAAAAATATATCTTTGCATGTGCAGCACACTTTTTTCGTACATTTCTTTGCCGTTGTTTTGCACGACTGCAACGCGAAACTTTTAGAAACTTTTTTTATGGAGGAATTGTCTTACGTGTTCTCGTTCACTTTTTTTTCACTGCCGCTCATTTTCTCCTTACATTGGTAGCCGCTAGCATTTCTCACTTTGTCACCGCGGCTACAAAAGTTTCATTTGTTCTTCCAACAAAAAATGTCTCCTTTGTTTTTTATCTCTCGCTCTAGATCTCTGTCTCCCTTTTTCTCGTTGAGCTTCGCTGGCCTGCCGCTTGCTTTCTCTTTTTTCTCTGTCTTTCTCTTGCTCTATATGCCAAATTTGTGGACATGACAATTAATCTAAGCTTAATACTTAAAAAAACACGGATACAGAAACAATTTCCGCTTTCCGTTTTCGTCTTTATTGACTCTTTAGCTGCCTCTGCTTTACAAGACGCGGATGGCTATGCGATTTCCCGCCAAAATAACCTCAAGTTGCACTTGGGTTGCCATACCTGTTGATTGAGTTATTTTACACTGGTATGCCTGTGGTGCGGACGGACGGTCGCTCGGTCGGTGTACTGTCACGTGATTACCAAATTTTCTGAGATGGATAGATTTTCTTACCCATGGTACTCCGAGCTCCGCTATTATTATTATTATTATTATTATTATTATTATTATTATTATTATTATTATTATTATTATTATTATTATTATTATTTTAAAAATTGTGATGCTTTAATGACAGTACCGTTTCTGTATATGGGAATGCTAATAAAATTTTTGCTGTTTTTGTTCTTTATTAATTTCAGCTTCTGATCGTACGGTTGGTTCGTCAGCTGTTTACCGCGAGCTACCACCAGGAGATTTCTTCACGTTTACTATTCCTTTCTCCATGAAAGGATCTACAGATGTAAGTACTGCTTGTCAACAACAACAAAAACAAGTATCAGGGGTAGTGGTCGTAAAAGGCCTGCGTCGCCTCTGATTATTGAAATTTCATTTCTGTTTTTATCTTTCAGGGACCACCCATTCCACTTCCCAAAAAATACGAGAAGGCGTTAAAAGAAAGAGAGAAGTAAGAATTAAAATGTACAATGAGACAGCTTGTGTACAGCTGCCCCCTCCCTCAAACAAAATCGCCTCCCTCCCCGATTTTGTATGAGGGGAGGGGGCGGGCGGCTGTAGACAGGCAAACGATTAGAACACTCCTATTTGTTTGCTTGGGAAGATCTTCGTTTAAGTCACGTTGTCTGTCGCTTTTTACCATAGCATTTTAGGCAAAAAATTTACAACAATATAATTTTAAGACTTTCTACTTCTAGGGCAATTAACAACTGGTATTCGCTGGTAAAAACGTCGTCGCTAAGTAAAACGCAAAGAAGACAGCTGCAGAAAGATGTCCAAGACAGATTTCAGGTAAAAACTGTTGTCGAATGTTGTTTTTGTTTAGTTGTTTTCAGATGGCTTGGTTGGATTTTTCAGGGCCAATACCTCCCAAGTTTACGTCACCATTCACAAAGATATAGGAAAACGATCAGCGCAACTGTATCAGACAAAGATGAAAATTTGTTTTGAGCTGTGTTATGTTATGTTGACGACTTGCAGCCGTATTTTTATTTTTTTTCCACGATTGCTCATCGGAGCTTTTTTCTTCAATACCTGCCTCAATATTCGTGAAGTTTGAGCAAAATCTATGAGAGCGTTTTCGAGATATTTTGGGATAAAATTTACAAGGGTAGAAATTTACACTACAGACTGGACAATCTTGATATTTGGCCGTTATCTTTAGAAAACAAAAGCGCGTTTGAAATGCAGTTTGACCTTATTAACGTAGTTTCAATTTTAAAACGTGTGTGAAAGATCATGGGGATAGCTTTAGCCGATTGCTGGAAAGGGAGGTATTGGCCCTGAAAAATCCAATCGAGCAACCTTTAAAAAACAACTTCTGTATCGAAGGAATGTTAAGAAAAGAATCACACAGACAGAGGGGTTATAAAACTATATATCTCAGACAAGGATCGCTGTTAGTTCAGAGAACACAGTTCGTGTTTGGAGTTTACGAATCCTTACTATAATCATTGAAGTAAAAACTAGGTATACTGAGCAGTTCTTGTCCAAGTTTATTGTCGGAGCCGTTGTCAACTGTTTGAACGCGTGCTTATTTTCTTGGTTTCGTGGCTGAAATCACGTTGTGAGCATGACATGTATTTGTAAATATATTTTTTCAGATCTTGGAGCAGTACGAATCTATCCGGATTGGCAAAATCGCTAGGTGTTCAATATCTTTTTGAAAGCGGACTAGTCATAAGTACTTACGTTGGTCAAATGGTCGCTTGCGATCATGCATGCTCATGTGACCAAGAGTACGGCAAAGTGTACGTCATTGGTCAGCAACACCTAGCTATTAATGATTTGCAGATAAGATATATAAATCGGGTTGCTTCTAGTAAGCAGCATACTTTCCTGCGGCACTGTTGATGTCGCAAAGGTTTGAAAGTTCGTGTATCATTTATTGTTCCGCGAAGATTTTTTTCGTGTCTTGGTTTAAATATAGTGATACTCACGCTGATGTGTCAACCAGAAGCGCATTGGTTCTTTGTAACAAAAGATTCTTTTCTTTGACTTGTTACAAATTTGAATAACAAACCCAATGTTTCTAAACATTGATTTCTCCTATATGTGTTGCTGTGGTTAATCTTTTTTGTTGTTGTTTTTGTTGTAGGAATGGTTGGCAGAAAGTGGTCATGCCACTCAACTGAACGGTCTTGTTCCGCCTCATTCCAGCAAATCTTAGCATTTCAGTAGTGAAACAAGAACAAGAAGATATAAAGTGTGACGTGGTGAATGTTTCTGGCTCGAGAAACATGCCGAAAAAAAGCAGTAAGGAATGTTAGAGCAGGGACTTATTCCACCTCCATTGCAAGATCAAACGGGCTAACAGAGGTCGTACTGAATACGGTACGGCTGTTCAGGATCTCAACCAAGAAGTTTCTTTGGTCGTGAGGGAAGTTCACGAAAAAGATAAGATTTGACAGGAGCAAGGCACGCACGAAGTACGACGGGGAAAAACGCCAAGGAACGTTTATAACGCACTCTGTTCCAAGCGAAGTTCTGCTGTTTGTCATTAAGAAAGGCTTCAAATAAGATAATTTGATCTTTGAAAGAACGATGCTTGTTTATTCATTTTTATAATGGTCCGTGAGGTGCGGAACAATGAATTCTCGACTTTAAATTGAGAATCTTTATGGCTTCGCCTGCTTCTACACCTATCAGTACATGAAATTGTAAATTTACCTAAACTTCGCAATGGATTTGTGCAGCCTTAACTTCCCACTGAGGTGGTATGGACAATTAAAAGTCAAAATTAACCCAGATTACAACAGAAGGGAATGCAAGAAATTAACTGAGTTTATTGAATGTAAAATTGTTAAAATAAAATCTTTGGACGTCACTATGTGTGCCGCAGAAAAGAGGTTGGAGGGCGTCACCAAGGGGTGGGGTTGGGGAGCGTGTAAAATGCAATGCGTGATTACTGAGTACAGTAAATCTTTGTCAGAACACCATGCTTGCAGCGTGAGGAGAAGGTGAGACACATAACAGTTCATATATAACGTAAAATCCTTTCATCAATTATTAATTTAAACTAGGAGTAATTGGGGTTTATGATAGTGCGTTCGATATATGTTTGTTAGGCGTACAGGTAGCAGTTGAAGGGGAAGAGTGGATAGTTCTCGCGATAGATAAATATGATTATGGCATATTTTGAACGTAAGGATTACGTACAGGGAAACCTCTATTTAAGTGTTTCATTATGGAAAGGTTTTGAAGTACTCAATCCTGGTACAGAGGTGGGGGCCAAGAACAAGACGCGCCTTCCATTCAACCCAAAAGTCCGGAAATTTCGGTTGGTTCGTCAACTAGAACGGACCATTTCGGTTTGGTCCGACCGGAATAATCGGGACCAGCTTTGAAGGTGGTCCTCTTTGACCGGTCTGGTCAGTCATTTCGGTCGGTCGGACCGAAATGTCCCTTTCCATTTGCCAAAATTGTTGTCCCAGGTACCGCTCTTTTGTATCCTGATTACAAGAACAAGTGGTTTCTAATGGAAAGTGAAGTGCTCTGAGTAAAGCATGTCATCTCAAATAGTTTGAATCAGTTGCAACTTTTTTTTATTTTGGATATTTGTCATTAACAGTATCAAATAACTGACGCAACACGACACGTAGATGAAAAAAGTGTGTGTATAAAGTCCGTGAGAATCAGCGTAGTATTTGTCTGAACCTGTCCACGATATTTAACTAAAGCAATTTATCAATTACGCTGAAATGAATACAACAAAGCCAGGCTGAATACAAATTTGGCCAAAACACCGAATTTATTTACCGTACAGTTCCAGGAATTGCCTCGAATCGTTCGAATATTCTGAGAAACGTATCGCTTCAATTCACGAGAATTTTTTACCTTCACTTGCATTCATAGGCTTTCTACACGAAATAGGATTCCTCCGCCTTTAGTTTTCCACCGCCCCTTTTCGACAGTCGAGTGTTCTTTAGGATATAAACAGTATTTACTCTTCTATTTTAGAGTGTAATTTTGAGTCGGTTAGGGTCGGGTCTGTGCAACCGGAATGTACCGTTCCATTGAGCACGTGAAGTTTCCGAACTTCAAACCGGAATTTATGTTAAATCAAAAAAGCGCCTATAAGGATTTCGGTGCTGTTTCGCAGACGGACTTTATAACCAGCGTTGCAACAGAAGTTCCGGTCACAAGTTGTTCTTTTGTGCATGTATTGGTTCCATAACGTCGAATTTTAGAAATTTGACTGTCTTGACTGCTGAATTGTACAGTTTTTGTTTTTGCCTTTCGTTAGAACCTAATGCACCTATCAATGTTATGCCGACAGGGGGGGAGGCAGGGCATGGGGTGGGGATTTGATTGTCTTTGTTGGCCTTAAGGTAGGGCATTTGACTGATCTTGTTCTCCCAGGGGAGGGGATATTTGAATCTTTCTTCGCCTGACGTGGAGAAATTTGACTGCCGACTCGGACGAAAAAGAATGAGACCGAACATATGTTTCACCCTTCACAAATGTTTCACCCAATGTTTCACCCTTAATGTTTCACCCTTATGTTTCACCCCACTTCCACGATTCACGCATGCGCCGTACGGTCTTGAAAGATCTGGAAATCATTGAGGCCAACGAGAACAAGCGAAAGCTGAGTGGATTTCACTATTTTGTCCTCAAATTTCGTATCGTATGTTTTAGCGTGTTTTTGATCAATTGAACTTCTTAAGATACTGTGGTATCAAAGTAAACGGAAGTAAAGAGAAACGAAGTCGATTTTTGCAAGTACAATTGATCAGTGTATGGCTCATTCGCTACAATCACTGTAAGCTTATGAAATTGACTTTCTCTATACCCTTTACTAAGAACGGTATATTCAAACTTACAAAATGTGGACTTTCTCCTAAAGGTTTCTCTATTCTACGGAGTGTAACACGGATTATGATTAAAACGTATAATTGCAGCTGTATCTTTGGTGATGGAGCAACGTAATATAAATAAAGATTGCAGAGGTTTATTTGGAGATATTCTTATTATGCCTTTCTTGTTCTGCTTTGGGATATTTGACAGCAATGTGCAGCCTGGGGTGGGGAAATTTGGTTGCAATTGACTGGTATGATTAGCCCGTGGGCAGGGAATTTTACTGCAATGTTTTGAAAAATGTCAAATCCCAACCCGATGCCCTGCCTCTCCCCCCCCCCCCCCCCCCCCCCCCCCCCCCCCCCCCCCCCCACCCCCCCCACCCCCACCCACCACACACCCCCACCCCCCCCCCACCACTCACGACCCAAAACCCTAAGTCCCACCAGCAACACAACACCGCACCACTAACCACGAGACACACCAAACCAACCAGTCAACAAGATGTGGGGGGAGTGTTTGTTTGGTTTGCGTTTGGCTTGACATGTGGGTGCGGGCTGTTTTTTCTAAACTGTTTGTAAAAGTGCACCCACCCACCCCGCGGCCCCCCTCCCCCCCCCCCCCCCCCCCCCTTGCCGGCTTTACATTGATATGTGCATAAGCTGAGTGATCACTCCGAGGCTGCCGCTGATGAGAAATGACTGAGCAACATATGGCTTTGCATGGGTGAGCATTAAAACAGAGATATTTTAAGAACCAATCACACGATTGAACTGAAAAAAAAAAACAAACAGAGAAGAACTGAATAATATTGTCTGTTTCCGAGAAACCCAATACAACCCTGATTCCCCGAACTTTTTACACCAGAAGCTAAAGAAACAACTTTACGCCTTGCAGAAAATCCACCATAAATTATGGCAGAACCAGCTGCGAAGCGGTCTCGGCGACTATCAGAGTTAGAAGATGACTACATTCGAACCATCGAACTGGATTTGAGAAATTACGGAGAGTCTGCGAAGTGGCTGAGAGGTCTCTCGCCGAAAGAACTCCTGATGATATTCGAAATTGGCCTTAAAATAAGAGAATCTACCATGTTGACTGTGGATGTCAGCCAAAGCTTCTTGAAGAAAGAGCTCTCTTCACAAATGCAACCGGTCAAAAGCACTTTAGAGAGCATTGAAAAAGAAGTGAAGAATCAACTGCGTGAAATGCAAGAAAATGTCGGTCGAGATGTCGCTGAGAAAGTGAAACAAATGTCGACTGATGTGGAAGCCTTCAAAGGCGATTTAAGGAAGGATATTGGAACCATCCAGAGAGAATTGGTATCCCGAGTGAATACTGTTGTGGAAAACGTTCCGCCGCTAAACAAAGTAACTGAATGCGTAGAGAAGTCCGAACGAAAGCTAAATGAAACCATTCATAGGGATATCAAACCCGTCATAGATAATTGCAAAATGCAACTAGTAGAAATGTCGACCTCGCTGAAACGGTCTTCGCACATTATTGGCTCTGTTGGTCAAAAACTGGTAATAAATCTTCTCAGAGAGCAATTTGGTAACTTCCATGTGAGGGATATATCAAAAGAGCCAAGAAAGGGTGATATATTGATGGAATCGCCGCGGCAGCATAAATTTATGATTGAAGTGAAAAACCGTGAGAGTAGCAACGTGCCCCAATCCGAAATAGATCGCTTCAAAAGTAATCTCGCGAGCTCTCCTGATGTTAGAGTAGGGGTTCTTCTATCAATGAAAAGCGGAATCGCCAACAAAGTGTCGCATGGAAAGTTTCAGATCATATTTAACGAGAATCAGTACCAAATTTATGTGCCGAATGCGGGTGAGGATGAAGCAATGATAACTTGGAGTGTGTTGATGGCCGACGAGTTGGCCCAGTCAATGCAGGGAGACCTTGGTACTAGCCAAATTCAAAAGCTTGAGGAGCTATACAAAGAATTTCAAGAAACCAAAGACCACGAAAAGACTTGTCGGGACAACCTGGATTCCCTCGAAAGGGCGGCAAAAAATTTGAGAGAGAGTATGAATTTTATTCTTAATGGTATCGACAAAACAAGGAAAAAAATGAAAAGGTTAATCGATTCTGATGCACCTGTCGTAGGTAAAAACATCGCTACTGTACAGCTAGACTGATGAGGCTATGTTCACACCAAACCGAATAGGTTTCGCGGCGCCACGAAAAGCTATCCGGTTTCGTGTGAAAAGCAACGACCCTGGGCGGCACACACATAGGGTAATTGCGTTCGACGAAGGAGAACGCTTACTATTCGTGTACCGTACACAAAGTAGTAACCGTTCTGTATGCCATGTGATTTCAGAAACTAGATAACATCGACCTAAACCAGATGAGTCATCGATATGTCAGTGGCGTCTTACAAAATGACTGAAATGATCGCGCTCACTTGATTGATCGCAGAGAGGATGTTATATTTGTCATATTGTCGTTTCCAGTTTATATCAGTAAAAAAAATGTTAAATCTGTAATAGACTCAGCTCTATTGTAGTGAACGACGCGGCTTATGGTCTTTCCGAGGAACGCTGGTTTCGGTCGATGTTATTTATTGTCAGCACGTCACGAAATCCAATCTAACATCGACCGATACCTAACCGGAACTCGGCTGCGGCTACGAAAAAACCGAAATAAAATAAATCCCGCGGGACTGCGAATCCTATCCCAGCTTTATTGCTGTCATTTGAGTCTCAAACAGTAGTTTTCCACCTTTTCGACTTTATGAGTCAGTTTATGAGTTTCTGGTTTATGCTAATCGGCTCGAGACAAAAGCTAAACACCCTAACTGCCTCTCCCGTTCTGAGCATCAATGGTACTTCCGTAAATAAGGTATCGACGTCCAAATCTCTAGCTGTACTCATTGATGCAAACCTTGCTGGGGGCAGTCATATGGAGGAAGTTGGCTAAAAAAAAATTGGCTCTGGTATTGCAGCTATCAAACGGGTCAGGCAATTTGTTCCCCCAGCAACATTGCATCTTATCTACAAATCCTTGATTCAGCCGCTTTTCGACTACTGCAATGTTGTTTGGGGAAGCTGTGGCATAAAACTAGCAGACAAACTTCAAAAACTCCAAAATCGGGCGGTGCGAGCTCTAACTTTCTCAAGCTATGACGCAGATGCATCGCAGCTGTTCCAAAATTTAAATTGGAAAAATCTTAGTACTCAGCGTGATATCCAAAATGCCTTAATGGCCTTGCTCCTGAGTACCTATAAGCTCTAAATTTATTGCTCTATCTAATACCACTTCATACACTTTTCGAGATTCTGTAAATACTAACTATTCCACAGCCACTACAGTGGTGCTGTTCTGTGGAATAGTCTTCCTGAAACATATATTAAGGCAGGCAGAATCCCAGAATAAGTAATTTTAAGTCACTTTTGCACAGTTATTATAATATCAAGTAAGGCACGGCATTCATGGCAAACAGGCTTTTTTTTCTTCGTATCTACTTAATTTTAAATAATTTTATTACTGTATTTAGCGGAACTCAGTAAATGTAATTAAGGTTTTTAAATTTTTTGTAACATTTTATGCCTGATGAATTTGTAACACCGTGCATAAATAAAGATTACGTTACCGCTTACTTTTTTAACTGAAGTGCAAGGTCAACGGTCATTTATCATAAGCGAAACAAATCACTTGTGGAGTTCCTAAGGGTCCATCTTAGGACCTTTACTTTTTCTGATGTATAAAACGATCTCCCAAATTGTCTAAGAGAAGACTACCTCTAGAAGGTATGCTGATGATGCTGATAGTACTTTGGCTGCGTCTGACTTGAATGTTCTTGAAAGGGAGATGAACAACGAATCCAAATCGAAGGGGAAAATATCAACCAAGTTGAGAAAGCTAAATCACTTGGTGTTCTTATAGATGACAATTTAACCTGGAAAGTTATGAGGTTATAAAATTAGTTCTTCTCCACTTCTAGAAGCACTTGGATGGGAAAACTTGATCTCCAACAGGCTAAAGCACAAGGCCATCTTGGTTTTTAAGTCTTTACGTAATATTGTTCCAGTGTATCTTCGCCAATTGTTTTGCAAATTTAATTTAGTGCTAATTATGATGTAATAAACTCATTTCACAAATTTTCATTCTCTAAACCTAGGGCAGAGTACCTGAAGCGCAGCTTTTCCTATGGCGGTGCTGACTTGTGGAGTTCTCTCCCTCAGGACCTAAGGGAATGTAACTCCCTGGGGATTTTAAAAAGAAGCTTAAAAGTTTTTATTCTTCTTCAGGCTCCTGCACGTCAATCATGTAAATCAGTTCGATTTTAGTAGTTTACTTTTATTCAGCATGAACTTTTTAAACTTATGATTTCCCGTGTATAAATAAATGAATAATAAATGAAACCACTCTGGATGAATAATAAATCGAAATAAAACAATAAGGTGCGAAGATACGAAGGCATGAACCAGTTAATTTGTCGATTGCATGGTAAGGAACTTTCTGATCTGTCTTTTGTTGTATAGTCGGCGAAAAGCCTTGTTACAAATCTTGCCTATACGAACATTCATCCGCATAGGAGCATCGAACAACGACCCAACGTTCCGGACGCTTCTAACGGTTTAATGACAGTGTCACCAACAATATTGATAGATTCAATAGATGTTTTTTCAAGTTGTTGACGGATACCAATATCTAAAAACTCAGTTTTTACGTCGTTGATCATTAAACGATTAGCAAATGAATATGACAAGAGCGAACATCTGCTATGCACTTCTCAATCACAGAGACAGCGTTAATTCATGTTAATATCCGAATCGATAGAATAAGGTCAAAGGAGAGGTAAATCTGTGTGTGGTTAGCATAACCATGGCCGGACTGAAGGGAGCTGCTGAGAAATAATTTAAAGAGTCGGGAGACGTAGAGAGTAATAAAGTAGACCCCATACAACTGCCCTGGGGAACACCACAGTTCAGATTAAAGTCAACATTAGTCTTATCACCAACAACTGTTATTGGGACCAGACAGAATTAAGTCTAACCAATTTAAACCAGTCCCGATGACTCCGAAATCCTGTTGCAAAATATTCAGAAGAATGGAATGTTCAATGGTGTCAACGAAGTAACATCAAGGTCCAAAAGGATTAGAGGTACGTGTTACTTTTATACCAGCGCGGGTCCGAAATCCAGAACACCCATTTGACTTGAACAGATCTAGATTATCTACACTGTAAAAACAGACCTGTTATGGTAACTATATTAAAAGGTTATAACCAGTTGCAAAAGGTAATTTTAACCTAAAATAAACTAGTTAAAATCGTAACCTTTATATTATTGGTTAGATTAACCAATGATCAGCAGTTGTTGTGACGGTTATAATTCCGTTAGAATATCGACTGGTCAAAATAACTTTTCATGGCAGTCAAAATAACGAAACCAAATGGTTAAGCAAATGGTAAAAATGTGCATCTAACCTGAAACCAATTGGTTAAAATCTTTTATTAACTATTTGTTGGTCATGACTAACCAATAACGATCCGTTATTTAGAGCTATGAAGTAGGTTAAACACTTAATGATCAAAACTGACTTTTCCGAGGGGTTAAACTGAACGGAAAACCACAGAAGGAAATGGCTACACAAACGGCGGGTATGAGTTTACAACGACAGATCATGAAAGCCTTGTACCCAACCTTCAACGCAGACTTTTCCCTTACGCTAAAGAAAGAACAAATAATCAGCATTTATTATGGGATTTAGGATAGGTTAAGATTGAATAGCCAAATCAACTTTCCCCAACAGTTAAAATATTTTAAATGACTTGCATCCAACTCGCGTCTTGCTTCAATGACTGGGCTGGTACGCGCGCGCGAGAGGCGAAGTCGCGTGACGCGAGGACTATTTTCTTCTCTGACGTTTCCCTCGACGGACTAGCCGAGAGAACTAATCGTCATCTAGGTGAAATGATTCTTCAAGATGTCCTGTACAGGTTATGCCATTCAAATCAATGCTGAGCACCTCGAAAAGCCAACAGCTATCCTCGCGTGTTTTCAAAAAATACTTTCGTGTTTTTCACCGGTCACAAAATTCCAGCGGGTTTCCGGTATTTGTCTGAAGTGACCTAAAGTAACTCTATTTCGTCACGTCACGAACCCTAAATGGCGTTAAATGTTCTCAGTAATTTAAAAATCTTACTCAGTAACCTTCTTATAAGCTTAAACTATTTCATGGTTGGAAACATGTTAGGCGAGTTTACTCGAAAAACAACTAAGGGTTTTCAGAAAATGTTGCATTCTACGCCAAAAGTGACAAAATATCGAAGATGCAACTGTATACTTCAAATCCACCAAATTACTATCAAGATCAATAAAATTAACATCAATTTGCTTTTTGAATGTGTCAAGATTGTAGAATTTAATTTCAATTCCCACGTGTTTCATGTCATATATCAAGAGACACGTTTTCTAAATCAAGATGCATGTCTTTTAAATCAAGAAGGGAGAAGACAATTTTTGATCAGTTTTGTTTCCGAGAGGGACTGAAACCGAGCAGACAGGTTTATGCTACGCCAAAAGTGACAAAATATCAAAGATTCAACTTTATAATTCAAATCCACCAATTCACCATCAAGATCGATAAAATTAACATCAATTTGCTTTTTGAATGTGTCAAGATTGTAGAGTTTAATTTCAATTCGCTCGTATTTCATGTCATGTATCAAGAGAAACGTTTTCTAAATCAACATGCATGTTTTTTAAATCAAGAAGGGAGACGACAATGTTTGATCAGTTTTGTTTCCGAGGGGGACTGAAACCGAAAAATCTGCCATGTTCCATGGACTGCTCCATGAAGAATCTCCCGCCCATTCCCGCCGTGCGGCGTTAGGAATCGAAGAACTTGTCAGAAGAATCATTCGAGCAGCACAAGGAGTTAACACATCTCGAACACATCTCAAGCGTGTCAACACCTGACGAAGAACTGAGGCGGCGATTTAAGAACGAGATAGGCTCGATCAGAAAGAAAGCGGAACAGGCTCTCGTAGAAGCGCTTGTGAAATATCACCACAGGCGCGCAGAACGAATAACTAACAAGCTTCGTAAACTCTAACAGTATAAATCTCGCAGGAATACTGTAAGGAACAATATAGGAATACCAAGCAGACGTCTCACCAGAAAACGCA